AATTATTTAAGAAAAAAGAAAAAAATATTAACAAATTTTGTAGCTTTTTAAACAAAGAAAGTTATAAGGAAACATTTTTGTCTATCTATGTACAATCACATGTTCGAATTTGCTATCCAAAGCAAACGTAGCGATGTCCGTATGTCGGACATCGCTACGATTTATTGCGTTGACACGTGTCTCTGTCGCATTTCATTTCTTCGTGGTTCCTCTTTCTTAAAGCGATTAAAATATATTTTTGAGACTAAAAGTTTAGTTTAGTTTAATTTTTCAAATTTTCATGAATATTTTTCATATAATACATATTATATTACAAGAGAGAATATATTTGGTAATATTTTATACATACATTATCGTTTTACTTGATTTACATTAAACTTTATAAATCTTCTGATAAATTCGCAATCTCAGCAAAAAAACGTTATTCATACTTAATATAAACCTTATGAAATATCCTGCATAAAAAAGAATATAACTTTCCATTAATGTTCTATTGGCAACGGACAGAAAAGGTACAAAAAGATAAACGTCTAACAACGAGAGTTGAGTAATGGATTATATTCCTTCCTGATCGTGGGTATTAAAAAATGGTAAATGCTCTTAATGACGACATTAATAATTGTATTCACCAAACCGCCAGTATTGACCTGAAGACACCCATACGTGGCACGCCCGTAGAATACCCTTGTAACGATCTGGTTCACATTCATCTGGGCGGAGAGATCATTTGTGAATGAGCGAACATTCAATGGCCGCACTTTTGATCTCAGCGTTATTAATTATCCGCAAGTAGCTGTGAACGTTTCTTCCGATCTCTTCCTGCCCACCTGAATTTCGTAAATCATCTAAACCCCTGATTTGACGGGTTCATTGGCATCAACCGATTTTGTAGAGTACATTAGTCCAGTATTTATATATATGTCCAGTATATATATATATATGTGTGTGTGTGTGTGTGTGTGTGTGTGTGTGTGTGTGTGTGTGTGTGTGTGTGTGTGTGTGTGTGTGCATACACATACTTTAAAAGGTCTAGGTAAACTTAATATTTAGGTATAACATGTGAATTTTTATACGAATATATTTTTTAATTTTTTTATTATTAAAATAACTTGTACGCAACATCGACTAGCGGATGTAGACATCCTAAAGATTCCAGTTTGTTCCCCGATCATCGAATCGCACTAGATCATCGGCTTGAGATCGCTTAAGGCGGTCAGAAATCATTCGGTGACCCTTATCGCCTTATTAGAGGATGCACTCCCCATACTTTATACAATGGCTTATCTCTCGTACATGCGCGCCTTTATCTCGATCCGGTATCAATACGTTCCTTCGGACGCATGCCCTTCGGACCGGGTATACTTAACACAAACCGTCATTACTTAACGGGGAGTAATAAAGTTGTATTACCAATTAGCCATCGTACAAGCACGCGCATGAACAGCTCGCGCCGATAGTTGGTAGCTTATCGTAGTTGCAATCGTTTACTGCCTCGTTTCGATCTCGCGAGGAGGATAAAATCGCTGATCCGAACGGGTAATCATTGTTATCTTGCGAATGCAGCACTTGTTTCGAACGCAAGTATAGACCGTCAGCCGATCGGCAGGTGAATGTAAATCGCGAACTTAGTCACCGTGAATATTAAATGGAAACCAATTTCCTCATTGCACAATGATGCGCAATAATTGTACAGTGTCTAAAGATGCTCGGTAAAAATCCACTCATCGTGCCGCTCAGTCGCAGCCCGAAAAAAGAATGCGGAAGTACGTAGGGCACGGGACGAAGGGACCAGGTCTCGACTTGTAGTTTGGCAGAGCGATTTTTATTCACAACGGGTGGCGGTAACTGAGCAGCCGCAGGGGGTGACGAAGGGGGCGCGAGATGGAAAGACAAACAAATGGATAAGTGTGAGTGTGTCCAGGAACGTAATTAATGGGTAGTTTGGCGGTCGGCTGGACAGCTGTCCTCTTTTTTCTATGGCGACGGACGGAATCGTATAGCCGACGGAACGTCGCAGCAACCGAAAAGTGGAGAACGAGAAAGAGAAACGCGGAAACCTCCTCACCAGTCCAACTTAGACACGGCTCCAGACATAGCGGAAGGAACAAGATGGATTACCTGACACTACCGGACAAGATCAATTGAATTTCTATTTGGACGTAACCGAGCCGTCCTCTAGGTACCTCTTCCCCATCTTCTTCTCTTACGAATCCTCTCCGCACGAACGTTAACGTCTAATTCTTCTTCAAACTAGATACTACGACAATCTTTCTCGGTATCTTTTTCACGATGGCAAAAATCGTATTTGGTACTGATCTTGAATAAAAAAAAAAACCCATCCTCGCATCGAACCTTTTGTTTAAAGGATATTTATTTTTTATGTAGACATAAATATAAGAAGTAAATATAAATAAACATTTCCTTGACAGTTATTAAATACGTCGGTTATATAATCGTTATTGCGTACAACACAATAACATAATAACTCTTTCAAGTTTTGCACAATACGTAGGCAACAAATAATATTGTGTCTATAATCAGCATGTATTAAAGTTCTATTTATTTAATATAACTTGTATTATATTTAAAATAAATTATAAACAACTTTTTATTACAAGTTTTCAAGTGATAGTGAACTTGATAACTTCCGCGATGGTCCTCTTAATTTTTTACACACGTAGTAACAACACAGAGTCACGCATCCTTCTTTTGCTGTCTCTGAGTAATAATAAATGACTTTGGTTGGAACTGTCTAATTACCTTCATGGACACCGCACAGATGTACGATGCAAGTACTGATAATCATGTAACTTTTTTGTTACTGGTTTTACTACGTCGGTTGAATTTAGCGTCCAGTTAATTAATAAAGAAAAATTGAAAAAATGTTGTTCAAATTAGCCAAGAGTAAGACACCTGGAATTTTTTTGTGGTTACAAATTCATTGTTTTCTCTTCAATTTTTTTGTCCTTTTTAAAATATTTTTTGATATTTAATATATTATTTGGTATTTAATATATTAATATTTAGTAATTTGTAGGAATATTTTTATGATAACAAATAATGCTTATTTATATTTTGTTTGTTCTTTTTTAATTAATTATATAAATAAAATGATACATTCTTTGTAGATCAATTTGACTTTTGAAGATATAAGCACAGAACTATTTCCATTATTTTCTACGTATACACACACACACACACACACACACACACACACACACACACACACACACACACACACACACAGAGAGAGAGAGAGAGAGAGAGTACGTACTACACATACGTACGTACTACATATTTTAAAATGATTATAAAATGACTATAGACGTACAAAAGATAATAGTACATATATAGATCTGGGCGTACGGTCCTAACATAATATAGTAATACGACATTAACGCATCGTCTGAATTTATAATCGTGCCATATTCGTCCATATGCGTCATTCGATCAAATGTCATTGGTAATATATCGCGCGCAACAAATGTAAGTGTTTTTGCAGTCAATAACCGATTATAATTATCGCGCGTTCGCTGACCAATGCCGTTTATTGTCTTGCAAAACTATTTTTCTCGACAACATGTACAACTACAAATAATCGTGTAATTATATCTAATAACCGCGATGAAGAAGCGTAATGAACGGCGAGTAACGTCGGTCGTCACAGGCGACTGGCTGGTGTCAATCGGTTGTAATCTAGAACGTAAATGTAAATATCGAATATAACGCGTATGCATATTGATATAACAATACACACAAATACATGAATTAGGGTGTTAATGAGCAAAACTCGGTGATGATAACTCGCTAAATGCCGGTACCGTTCGCGCAAACCACTTATTCCTACCCTCAGGACTCCCCCTTACATCTGCATTTCGTACGAATGCATATCGCGGTGTCTGTATGGCAATGCCACGACTTCGGCCAACAAACCGAAGCAATGCATCGTTAGCCCGACTGGCTGGCAGATAAATGACGTGGTCGCCTCACATCTGACGTGAATGAAGCCACGATGGCTTACCGGCGTATACCTACATACGTATTTACGCGCGCGTGTGCGAGCCTATAGTCGGTGTGCCCGTACAACCTACGCCATTCCACCCGATGATCGCAATAACTACCTAATGGTACACATTGAACGCCATCGTCTAGCCATCGTGCAGCCTCGACTTTCCACACGCAGATTTCGTTTAGATCAATTAAACGTTTTGTCGATCCCGCAGCATTTTAGCCCGAAGTGACCGTCCGCGCGACCGTTTCTTCGGTCCCTGTTAACAAGCGTTGATGCACAGGTATAGCGAGCTATGTAATGATAATTGCAAACGCGTAGCATAGATAAGCAGGTTTAATAGAATGTTTCATCAACCTTGAAGTACTAACTACACTGGCGATCTAGATCCAGTTGATCTCGTGCGCGCATGCCAAAATGACTTTATTTAACGAGAATGGATTTCATCGGAAAAATATCGATCAGTAATCACTATTATTCTTCAGAGATCATATCCGGTCGTCGAAACGTATGATTTATGTAATGGTTTTCCCAACGCGCTTACATCACGGATTCCCGCGAGCGTTATTTTTGCATTCATTTACGCTGCAGCTTTCCTTTATCGATAGTTGTCGTATAAAAAAATCTTAAAAATTGTATAAACAGATAAATAAAATTTTATAAACAATATAAGATAAAAATAAAAATAAATCTATACCAATTTTTACATATACTTTTTGCATAATACATTTTACATATAATATACATTTTACATATTTTACATATAATTTTTGCATAATTTTCTGATATGATATTTTTTTGCCAATTATTCTCATAGATTTTTTTGTTGTAAAATACTAATTTTATTTTACTTGATAACCGGTATATTTATATTTATTGTACTCAATGAAATAAGGTCTTGCATAAGGTTATGAAATCATTAGCGGTCAAATTAAGTGTCGTAATTAGATTATTATCAGTATCTTAATCGTGTGAAATTATTTTTCGACAGTCAGATGGCAGTTTCTTGAATGCATGAAGTATTTAACGTGCGTGCAAAATTTGGGAGTGGCCGTTACACACGATACGCAGCTTACAAGAGAGGGTGGAAGTTGTCTTCCCTAGCAGCAGAAGAATCCACTGGTTTCCGGTACACGCAAAAGTCTCATTAACTTTCGCCATCCGATATCCCGTTTTAAAATGGAGCTACTGTTCATCTACCAGTAAGAAACGGTAACCAACTAAGGAAAATATTCATACGTAATAAAGATTAATGCTGACCGCATCCGAAAAGCAAGTTTAATATTTTGCAAGTATTCATAGATTAATGGCTGATATCGCAGATAAGTCATTTTAATTCAAGATCTGTTGTATCATTTATAATTGATTGCATACCAAAACCCGGTTTTATCTTTCAGTTTGTGACATATAATCTAATTCATGGGTTTATCTTCGATATAAATTACCGATTAAAATTATGCTAATGTACATATAATGAGTTAACGTCACGTATACACCAATGATCGAGCGTGTGCCGCTTTAATTTACAACGTTATGACGGAACATCCTACGCACGCCGCGATGAGAAACGTCGACGATTCCACGGCGGATGAGCAGCTAGCGAAGCATCGTGACGTCGGTGGACTATCATCGTATCAATGCGGCGGAGATTGACAGTCCTGGCCGTGATAAATGATATTTCCAACGTCCTACTCCCCTCCCCCCCCCCTCCCCCGCTCTTCTTCCTCCCTCGTACCACTGCGGATCCATCCCCGCTGAGTTCGGCTCGGCACGAGGGTGCCCCGACCGAGCAGACTGAGTAGTGAGGAGGGAAGATATTCGCGGCGAGAAGTAAACACGTTACGCAAACAAATGCTGGATCGATAATATCCCCCCCCTATCCCCTTTGTAAGTATATTCTATACGTAAGATTTTTGAAAAATATATCTAACATGTGAATATTTCTTTATTGAAAAATCTCGCGGCTTTTAATTAATCTATTGGATTTTCCAAAATTTTTCAATATAAAAAATCCTTGGGATATTAAACAACAAATGCGATACAGTGTATAATTAATTTGAAAAATTAAATGCTCTTAATTTGTCAATACTTGATGGATACATGACTTTTCGATTTTTATAATATGGATTATAATTAGGCCAAAAATTTTTTTTTCTTTTCTGTGAATATGTATACAATGATACTTGAAATCTTTATGTGTTTAAACATAAAGCTATTTTTGAAATGTTAATGTAAATATATTATAATGAAGAAAAATTCGTCACTTTATAAAAAGTTCTTACATCAAAATAAAAGTCAAAACTATAAAATATAAAAGCTATATAACTTCACAATTTATTTATATGTATGGTTCTGAATTTTATTTTATATAATCATTTTGATTTTTTAATAATATCATTAAGTATGTCGTGAAACGATGAATTTTACGAAGTTTTGCGATTTATATATTATTAACATAACAGTATACATTTTTTGTCAAAATGCTTGGTATATTTTTGACGTAATAATTAATCAGGTATTCTACCGGAAATAAGGAAAAACTACATATGAATAGGTCACGGAAAAATACAATGCCACATTTCTTTCTATATTTCAGCATCTTTTACGTAAGGTTACGAAGGCCGACAAAAGATGAACAATTGACCGAAAGTTTTACTACTCCGCCCGGAAAGGCACGTTCTTGCACAGCATGTTTCAGCACGTCTCAGCATGCTGCAAGGCCTTCAAGCTTTGATAGTTATTCATAGAAACAAGATTAGTAGACTCAAAATAACGTAGTCAGACTAACATTGTCAAAGATTTGTAATCGATAATATGAAAATATTAAAATGTTATGCAAATTATTTAATTCTATTAACATTTTTAAAACAAGTATATATTTAAATTTTATGAAATAATCATGATAACAAAACTTTTTTAATAAATTGTCGCTTTTATATTGTATATAAAAACATGTATATGCTATACAATTTGTCGCAGAATGGCATACCGCAAACGGAGTATAAATCAATCGTGCAATAATAGATACCGTCTGGCTTGATCTCGATACTCCCAATTTTCCCAAATGGCTACAAATGTCTCTTTCTCTCTCTCGTTTTTGCGAAAATTCCTTATTTCGTTGTTCACATGGCGGAGGATTGGATAGGGACTACGTGAGCACATATGTCACTCTATGAGACGTCATTCTACCAATATAGATTTATACAATCTACTATATTTACTAACAATTAATTCAAATATGTTTCATACATTCGGTATAATTTCATATTTTGTATGGTTTTGTATGGATTTAATTTTTATACGCAATATTTTTAAGCATTTATTATAGTATAGTCGTTTCAAAAATTAAAATTGAATTATTGAAAATTATATAATTTATTGTTACATTTCTATACATTTCTGTTTTGTATTGTTATTACTTATTTATTAATTAAATATTTATTTTTAAAATAATGAATGTCGCGACATATTATTTCAACAATATAATTTAAATCGGACACTGTTATATAAATTTTTGTTTAGTTACGGAAATAATATAATTCAAATTGAACACTGTTACATAAATTTCACTTTTCTTTTTTTTTCCTTATTCTTTTTAAAATATTATAGAGAATTGAGAATTTATTGCCGTGGCTAAATTGTAAAAGTTTTTATTTTTTCTACCTTTCGTCTTTGTTTATGTGAAAAAGTTACAATGTTATTTTGGACAATAGACAGGTCATAGTAAATTTCTTAAAAGCATCTGGTGAAAGTTGAAGTATGCGTGAAATAGATCGTTCAATAGATATCTTGAGCTTTTCGAAAGAAAACGGTACATGGATTTCAAAAGATTCCAAAAGATATCATCCGTCGTGATACAAAATTGTGGAGATAAAAAATATGTAATAAAATTATTCTGTTTGCAATATTTCAAACTAGATTTTTAGATGATTTTGCCATATACATATGTATATGGCAAAATCAAGCAAATGTTATTTTATAATAATAAGATAAATTTAAGACATAGCAAAATAAATAAAATTTCTAAAATATATAAAATTAATAGTACTTTCATAAACAGAGTGTTAAACAAGAAATTGCAATTGAGTAAACATATTTTAACAAAATTAAATTAAATTAAATTAAATATTAATGTACGATATATATATGTACAAATATACATATACGTATACCACTCTATTTCAATTTTTATAAAGTGAATGGGATTTCTTGCGTATAATATATTATACATTGACAATATCGATGCAAGCCAGCGAAAATAAAGTCGGTAGCCAAAATCATTAACGAAATGCTCCCAACTCCGGAACCCTCGGCCCTTCCCACAAGTATCGCCCGTCGAGAATTATTATTTATTGCTATCGTCTCCCAGTCGGCTAACACAGAATGCATTTCACGTCCACACGCGTGAGAGCGCGGAGACATTCTTCTAGCATCGTTTGATTCACCGTGTACACCTAAATTTAACTGCATACGTGTGATGTGTATGATGTGTGCACGCGTGTCCATTTGGATCGGCCGTTTAGAATCCCCAACCATAGGATTGGTCACTATTTCAAACTCATCCATCAATCATTTTTTTCGACCGTGTTTTACTATTTATATTTTGTCCGCAAGGTCGTTTATTATCTTCCGTTAAGGATAATTGTTTTCTTTTAACCCCCTAACCCTATCATTGACGCCTTGTCATCATCATATTTAATTAATATGTCTTATTTAAGCATCCTGACGTTCTCGTTGCTTTGTAATTTGCAATGAACGCTCGGTTACTCGACAGAATTCTCTATGTGAATATGTTTGTAAATTAGAAGACTATTGTAAAAAAACTATTTATTTTTATTATGCGTTTTTATTTATTTTAATAATAGATTTAATAAAAATATAAGAAATAAAAATTAAATAAATTTTACACATAATTTTGCGTATAAAGAAATTTATGCTAATAATCACTAATTTTAAAAAGAGATATATATATATATATATATTTATACAACTTTTAAATTAATATAAATTTTTATTATTTTTTTGTTACATGTTTATTGGATTTTATATTATTTTAATCTTTCGTCAAACTTATATTCAATTTATAATAGTAGTTGAAAATATTCATTATTTGCGTAGTTAAAATTACAATTATTTTATTTACTTTACAAATAAATATTTTAAAATAAAAATTAGCCGATTCCACTGGAAATTGTTACTGGAGTAACGATTCTGTAGCAAAGATGTTCAATGCGTGCACATGGTAGCGCGTATTGTGTCAGGTCGGGTTGGAAGGGAGAGGCAGCATGGGGTTTTGTGTCAATAGCGTTAATAGTGGGAGGGGACTGCGGCATGAAGCAAAGCAGATCAAAAATCGAATATATTCGGGGGTGGTCTTAGTAGTGAATGAGAGAGCAGCTGACAAAGACAGAGCCCCCCTGCGATACCTCGATTTGGCAAGAGACGCCTATGGAAACTTTGCTAAGGGTAACATATCCCCTTCCATGTCTCCATAGATGTGGTCCTATGGTCACGTACCATACCGGTGAAAGCTCTGCCAGAGTTTTCGGTAGAAGCGTAAAACCTCTCTCCCCTTCCCTTTATACCAATAGACACCCCAGAAGAATAGTTCAAAAGTACACCGGACCTCAGCAGTTACATTTAACTAGCCATAGTGTATACTTCGATTTCGAAACGAAAAATAGTTGAACGAAATAGTGAACTTACAGCTTGTGTTAAAAATATTTTATTTCTTATATAATTACAAAAATGTGACAATTTAATATATATATATAAACTCATGTATAATTATTTATTTAATTATGCGATTGAAAATGAGCAACTGTCATTAAATTGTGATACTTGATATGAGTATACGTGATGTGCATTTATTTATAATAAAATAATAATGGATATGAGTTCAAACAGCTATCAGAGTGATTATCAGAATTTTAATCCGAACTACAGAAAGGATGTACTCTGTCAATCATTACAACAATCGTTTTATGAAACCTGCAATGAGTCTGAATCTTTATTGAAGAATACTTTACTGCTTGGCAAAGATGCAGTTGTTACGTCAAGTTATTACGAAAATTCATACGCGAACATGAATTTATCTTCTTATCAAACCACATCAAATGATCAAATTGTTTCGTATAATCAACAAAGCTCTCCTACTTCAAATTCTGTATCTTCTACATCCTCCTCTGAAGCCTCGGAACAATTCTCAACTTGGCAACAATTTAGCGATTTACAAGGACATCTCTCTCAACAACCGAATATATATAATCAATGTAACCAAAGTTATTCGAAAAACGCTGTGCAATTATGTGATTATACTTCATGTGTTCCTGGACCGTCCACTATTTCAATGCAATGTGAACAGATCAAACCAAAACTTGAAACAGTTTCTAATGTTCAACAAGAATTGCAGAAATACAATTATAATAGAAGCAATGATAACATCAGGCAAAAGACACTCGATACATCTTACAAATATAAGGAGACACAAAAACGCACTTATTACAACACCGCACATTATCAATGGATGCATAAAAGAACTAATGGTGAATTATTTTTATATAATATATACATGTAATGTTATAAATGTCGTTAATAAGGAAATAATCTTTATTTACTTATTTTTACAATAACTTATAG